TATATATATATATATATATATACATATACATATATATATATACTTGACCTTTTTGTGAAAGCGCTTGTAATTATGTGCATTTGATCAACCTTAGAGCTATTACTTACTCTGATGAACTATTTAGTCCTCTTAACTGGTCTGAAGCAAACATCAAAACGGACATAAGGGACGATGAAAGTACATGTTCCGAGTGAATAGTCTTTGATTTGTTGCTACAGATTCCCTTACTTGGTGAAACTCTCTTTTTAAATACTGAAACTGCCAAGACTAAGACTTAGTATTTAATATTTTGAAGTATGTGGTAATCATGTAAGCATATTTTTGCCGGTTGAAATAATCCCGCATATAGTGCTCACAATATGCTTTATATTGACCATTTTCATCATATGTTTTGAAGTAAGGTTAACATTTGAGACATAAACTTGATCCCTTAGGCTTGGTTATGTGACTAGACATGTATGTGATGGATCTATGTGCCCTGCATGCTTATGGGGGATCTATGTAACCTGCATGCTAGTCTTGGAACCATGTGCCCTGCATGCTTGTTTTGGATTATGTGCCCTGCATGTTTGTGTTTGATCTATGTGCCCTTGAGAGTTCAAACTACACATTCATCATACCTTGACCACTCAAAGTCCCGCTCAATGTTCATAATATAGCCAACCTGGTAGAAATATTATTTTTGCGCTTTTAGAACCACGGGGGAAAAAATAACCTATCTTAACGAAAAGAAATGCATTAGACGTTTACTATGTTTAATTGTAGAAAGCTTGGTGTGTTTACATTTAGAAAGTGGCTGTGTTGAAATTGGTTTCATACGAAATTTTAAAGAAATTAAATAAAATAATATTAATCTACTCTTTGAAAACCCCAACTTCATTTATATATTAGTTTATCTAAATAATTTTTATAAAATGACCCCCGTTTCCATTATTTCAGTCTCTTTACCCCAATTTCGCTCGTGTGATCGCACCAGACAAGTATCTGGTCTATGCTGCACTGAGCTATTTAAAACTAAACAACTGGACCTATTTCTCGGTCATTTTTCAAAGAAGCCGAAAAAATCACGGCATCTATTTATTCCTAAGAGAAGCTGTATTTCAAAAAAAAATGTGCATCTCAAGAAAGCTCGAACTTAGGGCTGAGGACAATATCACTGGCCTCTTGGTCAACATGATGCATGACCCCTTAGCCTCCAGGATTGTGTTTGTCATAGGCAATGATGATATGACATTGGCCATAAATCGCGCCATAGTTGAAGCCAATGCTGAAGGGCAGTTTGTCTGGGTGGGTACCGACTTTTGGGCCGATTTTATTTTTAAAGACGAGGCGCCCCGGGGAACCCTTGGACTTCATTATCACGGAATGGAAATGGAAGAGTTCAAAAAACATCTGACGTCTCTCGATGAAAAAAACAGAAACCCGTGGTTTGTCGACGCCATGACCGAGATCCACGGCTGCAACATTACGGCATGCATTAAGTCAATGATGGCTGAAAAAGTGAAAAATTTAGCCATGCTGCTCTCGTTGGCCGTTGACGCTGTTGGGGTTTTGGCGCATGGTCTGTCGACATTCTTAGCACACTTTTGCCCGGGTGCCCTTGGAGCTACTGCAGCACTCTGTTTTGAAGAACATCGGCTGCATTTCTATGCATTTGTCATGAATACTTCATTTGATGGCTACTCAGGACACATCCACTTCGATAATTTCGGTAACGCACTAGAATCGTATTCGGTCATCCAATCGGCATATAATATTGAAACCAAGCCTATCACCTTAGCTCATTATGAAATTAAAAAAGATAAAACCACCCAATTTCGTGGCATATCCTGGACGAAGATGAAAATTCCGAAATCACGTCTGCGCCCAGAAACTTTCTGCGAGAAACCCTGCTCTGCTTCGGCGTACCGATATTACACTACTCGATGCTGCTGGAGCTGCAAAGACTGTCAGGAGAATGAGAGGGTCAGTGACAGCTTGCAATCGTGCCAAATGTGTTCCCAGTTCTACTGGCCGCGAATAGATTCAGAAAATAAGACCAGGCAGTGTGCACCATTGCGACCCAATTATTACACCTGGTCTTCCACTGTGCCCGACATTCTCATCACCTTCGCGACCCTGGGTATCGTGGCCACCTTTTGTATGTTGATTATGTTTTGCACGGAAAAGCACAAGGCCATCATCAAGGCGGCCAGCATAGAGATCAGCATAATTCAGCTGGTGTTTATTCAGCTTGGCTTCCTCACCGTCCCCATTCTTTTCATTTTCAAACCGTCCGTCGTCAGCTGCACCATCATCGTCATTCTGTTCACCATCAGCTTTAATGTCTTATACTTGACGATGCTCATTAAGGCGATCCGGGTGTACCGAATTTTCATGAGTTCAAGGAGACGTACCAAAGTGACCTTCACCAGTCCAAGAGTGCAGATTCTCTTTTGTCTGGCTTTTCTATCGTTTGAGGTGAGGCGACATACTTTATTAAGGCATTGATTTACGGGAATTTTCTTGTTATCTGCCTGATTGTTAAGTTAATGTTAATTGTTTAAAAGACCGCCACAGTTAATTATTTGTTCAGAAATCAAGGTAAAGTTATCTTACAATTTAAAAATTTATTGATTGATATATATCTTGTACGTCACCATTCTCTTTGAATTTTATATGTATAATTTGAATTAAGAATTTTATTTATAAATTCAAAGACCCAAAAACACATGTTGTTCTATTTGTGCTAAAGGTGTCTGTAACATACGGGTCAGTATGAAAAAAAACCCCAAAAATAATCAACATGCAGCTGGGTTGAATACATGTACTCAAACCAACCAAACATTGGAAAGGAACAAAAAAGTCAATAAATTAATTACACGGCTTAAATAAAAACGTTGTGGGGTAATAGAACATTAACTTCTTAATTTCATTCGTAGATCACCAGATTCTTTTTGATCAACCAGTTCCACCCTGTCGGGGCCGACGTCTTTCAGCCAGACCTAAGCGTCGATTACGTAGAGCTGTCCTGCACGCTACCGATGGCGCATTTGATACCTTTCTTCATGTTCGATCTCTTCCTCCTGTTTTGGTGCTCGATCTTTGCTTTCAAAACCCAGACTCTGCCTCAGGAGTTCAAGGAGAGCAGATTCGTGTCCATGTGCGTCATAACGACACTGTTGATGTGGGGCGTGTTCGTGCCGAGCTATTTCACCGTCGTCCGTCGTCAGATGCAGGTCTTCATCATAGCGGTAGCCATCATCATCAATCACACCACCGCAATCGCTTTCCTATTCGTTCCCCGCATTATCGCTCTCCGGTACATCTCAAGGCAATACGAACATACCGGATCATTTTTGTCAACCATCACTGAGTAATTCATTTTAAAAAGAAAAATGAAGAGGGTTGTATCTACAAAAAAAGACATTGTGATATAAGTCTTCGAAGTGACAGTCCCTCTTTTCTCTACAACTTTATTTTTACAGTTTAAAAAATAACTAGCAAAGCCCAGAGGAAGCTTTGTTTTAATTATTATTATTTTTTTTTAAATGGTTTAAACCTTCTTAGATGAAATATGTGTCATTAAAATTTCTTTTTAATGGAAAATATTCGATTTTTAAAAGATTTTTTCTTGTACAGATATCGAGGATAAAATGAGGAATATAAGATGGATTTTATTGTAAAATACGAGAATTTTAAAATTTACGTTTATATTTTTTTTTAAAATGTTTCACAATTAATTTTTAACACTTGAAATAAAAAATTACGAAAACAATTTAAAAAAAAAAAAAGAGTACCGATTATAAGATTAACTATTATTGTTCACAAAAGAAGATAAAATTAAGAATATAAGATGGATTTTATTTTAAAATACGAGAATTTTAAAATTTAAGTTTATATTTTTTTTTAAAATGTTTCACAATTAATTTTTAACACTTGAAATAAAAAATTACGAAAACAATTTAAAAAAAAAAAAAGTGTACCGATTATAAGTTTAACTATTATTGTTCACAAAAGATTTAGAGAATCCAAGTTTTGTGAGCGTTATTTTAAATGTGTAATTACATTGGTGCGATAGCCGTTCATTTGAGTGAGAGGCATACAATTAAACTAAGACATTTTAAAGCTTAGTGGGACAACAATTGCAAGGCCCATTAAGCATAAAAGCCAGTGTATAATATATTTGGTGCTTAGAGGATTAAATGGTTTTTTGGCATTGTATTGGTTCATATGCACTCGTTACGTTGCCTATACAAAGACATTAAATATTTTTTCTTGAATACATTGCAGTCTCACAATTGTCTTTCTTATTTCACGGTGGAAATAATGCATTTGTTTATTATGTCCATGCATGTCGTGTTTTGCTCTGTAATTTGTATTTGAATGTCTAGCTATATTGGCACATTCTGATGAACGCCATCATTCTAAAAAGAGAAATTTAAACATTCAATGTATACATGACCCAGATAAGACAACTTTAGAATGCGCAGGTATACACGACCGAACTAAGAAAATCTTAGACAGTGCAGGTATGCGTGACCGAACTAAGACAATTTTAGACAGTGCAGGTATACACGACCCAACTAAGACAATTTTAGACAGCGCAGGTATACACGACCCAACTAAGACAACTTTAGACAGTGCAGGTATACACGACCCAGCTAAGACAATTTTAGACAGCGCAGGTATACACGACCCAACTAAGACAACTTTAGACAGTGCAGGTATTTATGACTTAACTAAGACAACTTTAGCCAGTGCAGGTATACACGACCGAACTAAGACAACTTTAGGCAGTGCAGCTATACACGACCGAACTAAGACAACTTTAGACAGCGCAGGTATACACGACCAAACTAAGACAACTTTAGACAGTGCAGGTATAGACGACCGAACTAAGACAACTTTAGACAGTGCAGGTATACACGACCCAACTACGTTTATTTATGTTTTGTACACTAGGAAATGGCGTCAGCTCGCTGTCGAGCAAGTACCAAGCTCTCTATGCCCTCCCAAAAGCATCTGCCCCAAGTCCAAAAATCGGGCCGCGAAGCGGCATGCTGGAGATCTGCCTTTGCCAGGACACCCAAACTAAGTTTATTTGATGGGATGATCTGCCTTTGCCAGGACACCCAAACTAAGTTTATTTGATGGGATGATCTGCCTTTGCCAGGACACCCAAACTAAGTTTATTTGATGGGATGATCTGCCTTTGCCAGGACACCCAACTAAGTTTATTTGATGGGATGATATGCCTTTGCCAGGACACCCCAACTAAGTTTATTTGATGGGATGATCTGCCTTTGCCAGGACACCCCAACTAAGTTTATTTGATGGGATGATCTGCCTTTGCCAGGACACCCCAACTAAGTTTATTTGATGGGATGATGAATAATTTTAACATCATCATAAATCAATTTTTAAAAAAATACGCAGATAAATGTATATATGGATACCATTGTTGATTTCATATAAATAACAACAAATAAAGAAATACACAACACATCTAGAATAACATAACATGAGATCTGACATCTAGAATAAGATAACATGAGATCTGACATCTAGAATAACTTAACATAAGATCTGACATCTAGAATAATTTAACATAAGATCTAAAATCTAGAATAGCTTAACATAAGATCTGACATCTATAATAACATAACATGACACCTGACATCTAGAATAACAAAACATGAGAAAGGCGTAACATTTGGTTATTAATTAAATCTTTCAAATTTAAAAAAAAAAAGGTCAAGTTAAAAATGAAATTTTCGGGTTCAAACTTGCTCACTGTGTCGCATGTAAAAGACTGAATCCTAACCATTAACAAAACCTTACCACCTTATCCTTACTTTATCACAAACGTTAAACTAAATAGATAACCGAAGCACTTCAGTTAAGCGTTACCTAACCCTAACCCTAACCCTAACCTACTTCAAAACTAATGCGATTTAAAAAATAAAAAAAAAAACTTTTAATAATTTATATGGGTTAATCTGAACTATTTCGTGTTTTGTTTTAATTATGGGCGTCTAAAAATTTGCATACAATAACAAAGGAATGTGTTACTCTGCGAGATAGTCTGTATCTGTTGAGCTTTCCCTGTGATGGCCTACTTACATTTTTATGTGCGAAACGCACCGAAGCAAACACTTGTCCTAAATGTGGCATGGTTACCAGGTATCTTTCGCTTTGGATAAATTGAAATTAAAAATGTAAGTGAATAATTTTCATGAATTTCATTTAATGTCGGCATACATTCACCAGACCCGACTCTCAGCTTTCCTGTCCGGCTGAGTTATTCCCCTCGTCCTGTCTAACGGTCCCCTTTTATAAGTCCCCGAATTGGTCGTAGCGTCTCTAGCGATTCCTTCCAGGGGCATTAATCTATTTCTACACCTCTGATTCTAAAATGTTCCTAACGCCCCCCCCCCCCCCCCCCCCACCCCCGTTTAAATGGACATTAACTAGCCACTATTGTCATCGTATCGGTTGTACTAGCCTCGTCAAGGTGTAATATGATACGCTACAAACGTTGGTCAGTCGGTCAGTCTCCGTAATTTGGGATTCCCCCCCCCCCACACACCTGCACCACCCAGGTCGACCACCAAGGTCTGGACTCCCCACAATATTTTCTCTGGTCTAGACACTTCCTCTTCACTTTCTTCCTAGCCTATTTAGTCTATGTCTAAATTATCTTGGCAAGCTTTTGGCAACCCAGGAAGACCTGCTTTCTGACTAAGTTATTACAAGTGACCAATATGATGCTAGATTGGCGTAACTAATGCTTAAACAATCTGTGAATGGCGCGAAAGATGAGCAATAGGATTAACAGTGTCACGATGGTTGACTCAAGTTATGATTTTAAAAATTTTGGCAGATTTTAAATATTGTTTGTACATCACATAACAAAAGTTACAAGAAAAAAACAAAGAAAACAATTTATAAAACTGTCATCAGACCAATTGTACCATACAGAAGTGAAACTTTACCCTAAGAAAATTAAACGGCAGAAAACCTATTTAACACATCGGAGAGAAAAGTTCTCCGGAAAATACATGGACCAAGAAAGGATGAATTTGTATGGTGATTACGAACCAACCAGGAATTGTATAGTCTATATCAGGATCACGCGCTATTGGCAGAACAATTAGATCGAATGCCAAAGGACAATGGAGTGAAGTAAGTACATCACCGAAACCCCAGAAGAAAACGGCAAAAATGCAAACATAAGCTCAGATGGCTGGATGATTTTGAAAAAAAGATCTACAGCAGCTGGGAATCCAAGCATTGAAAAGAAAAACATAAGTTAGGTCTGAGTGGAAGGAAGTAATGATGCAGGCCAAAACTCTACAGTGGCTGTTGCACCTCAGGAATTGGTGGTATTTAACATACAAAGTAAAGTAGAATTAAAGAGAAGGTGAAAAAAAGGTAATTAGAGTGAAATCTTCTTTTAATTTTTTAAAGGGTTTCCGCCTGAGTAAAAATGAATGAACTAATTTAACAGCTCTAAAATTTTTCTTATAAATCCTTTATAAAATGTAATTTGGAGCAATGAGAGGTGGGGCTTAAAATTGGACAAAACATGCATAACACACTTTATAAGAATCCCAAACAGGGGTCGACCGCACCCCTGGGTCGCCACCCCCCACTCCCCAAGGCTCGCAATCGCACACTTTGTCACGTTCCTCAACTCTATTCATCTTCTAATGACCCACCCACTTTGACACCGTAGATTTGTTACACCAACTATATCAGAAAAACAAAAGAAAATAGTACGCACTAAACGCACTTGAGAAATGATTTTTTTAAAGAATCTCATTTTGCGTAGTTTTTCTGGAATTTTACTTGGCAAAATCATATTCCTTCACCTTCCTGTGGAAAAACAGGGAAAATTGATTTTTTAGGGTCCGGGCTGAAAATTTAATATAATTCCTCGTCATCGGCAACGAGTCTATGTGCGAAGTTTCAGCTCGATAGGTTGACGGGAAATGGGTCAGTTAGCTGTCCGAAAGTTTTGTCAGTCAGCCACGAACAAAAGCAAAGTCAATATAAAGGATTTAAAAATAACGTCTAAATTTTATGTATTTTTCTTATATGAATGAAATGAATATAAAACTACTAATTTTTTAAGATTTTAAATTTGCATTTTAAACAGTATGTTTAAAAATACAGCTAAGACTCATTTTAAATTTGCATTATTTTGAGAACCACTGCTATTTCATTTTCTTATCACCGACACTCATTTAAAATTTGTTATCTATTTTTCTTAAGTGAATAAGTTCAATTTAAAAACTAATGGTTTTTTTAATCGTAAAATCTG